TCTCTCTCTCTCTCTCTCTCTCTCTCTCTCTCTCTCTCTCTCACACACACACACACACACACACACACACACACACACACGCACACGCACACGCACACACAATAAATGAGTCAGATAAAGATTGTGTTAACTGGCCCCGGACCTCCCTTCAAGGGACACATTGGAGAAGGCAACAGCACCTCACCCTATTTCTCTCGGCACTGCACACAGGACATTGCAAAACAGTCCCCATCTGCCACTGACGTTTGGTGGCAGAGATCCTTCTTCCAACGTGCTGCCCATTCATGTCTAAAACTTCCTCCAATGCAGTACAGTACTGTACAGTCCGAGGAAAGGCTCCTTGTGGTGAAGTAGCACAGTAGCTGTAGTTTAGGTATGTTAGTACAAGAGATCACGAGTCCACTGCACTTCATTTCTAGTGTGAGAGGTTAGTTTCTAATGTTGGGGGGTATTACTTTCTACTAACTTTCTAGCACTGCTCACAACCACCCACTACACAAGCTTAATCTGCCGCCAGCCAAGAGCATGATCAATTCGGTGAAGACAGGCAGGCAGGCAGGCATTAGGTGCATAAGGTGGGTGGGTGGCCTGCTAGCATATTTCTCGAGCATGGAGGGACGAGCCGGCATGTGCTGGACAAATTGTGTAGAAACTCCATGCCCCTGTTTGTCCGTCCACGTCAGACAGCATCAACAAATCAGTGGCAGGTTCGAGCACTACGTGCGGTAGTTGCCATTCAAATAGGGGCCCTCGGGACCTGGGCCAACCGCACCCCGATTACCAATCACGGGGCTCCCGGCTGCACTCTGGGGACTGATGGTTGCCCCACCTGCTGCCCCTGTCAAACCACCCGCCTTCGGGGTCTTAGTCCCATCCGAACCTACAGCACCAATTCCACTCTTTTTTGGAGTCACTAGTCCAGGAGCAGCCGCAGGACCACCACCACCACCATTTGCATCAAACTTGCCACTTCTGAGGATTCCGCTGTACTTGCCATGGTCGCTGCGTGTGTCGGCGTCGCCAGCTTTGCTGCCCGTCCTGGGGGTGAAGGTCCCTTTGGGATAATACTTGCAGGCTATCAGTTCCGGGGAACCCGGCTGGCGCGGCAATCTACTGCTCTCCTCATCCTCGACATCGATATCGTCAAAATCTTCCTTGGCAGCCTGCAGCATGGGATGCAGGTACGCATCTGTAAGGAAACTCCTCACATCCTGGCCCCGGTTGCGGACCGAATCTACGGTATCTTTACTCATGGCCTCTTGCATAGAGTACTTTTGGAAAGCCGGAAAGAAGCGTTTCGTGCAGTATGATGTGAAGAAGACGGTCAGTATGGGGAGGGGAAGTAGCAAAGGAACGAGTTTGAACTTCTCCTTCAGCATGAAGACACCAATGAGCATGATTTGCATGACAACGAGAGCGGTGACGACGCGACCATGCACGTACGGCCAGAACGAACCTTGACTTTCGTACGCGGGGTCGTAGACATTGATAATCTGGTTCTTGAAGACGACATACCCGAGAGCAAAATAGGTCAGCAAGAAGGGGATGAGCAACGGGGAGGTGACGCTGTAGACCAGACCGAGCAAGAAGAAGAGCATAAGCCGGGGGATCTCAACATGGTACTCCACAGGATCTAGTTTGGTGGCATCAAGTTTGTCCTTCTCTGTCTTGAACAGCAACAAGGACTTGATGTGAAAGACGACAAGGGTGGAGACGCGGAGGGCTTCCGATGGGAACCCGGCCCATCCTTCAAGCATGATATAGGTGATAAAGAAGGGGGCCCTCGATGGGATTTCCCGCCCGAAAGTCATTGGGATATCCCCCGGGTTCTCCAGCAGAGCCTTGAACCTGTTGACCAGGTTCAGCGCTGACCCCGCGAATATGGACCCAAAGAACACATTGACAATCATAAAGTAATAGTACATCTCCGCTGCCGATCTCTGGATTCCGCTGTTCGACACGTACCCCTGGAACGTCGACATGACCATCAACAGGGACGGAAGGATGGCAAGAAAGATCTTCAACGCCAAACCGGGGAGAAAGTCGGTTAAGACCTGGTTAACGACAGGGACGTTGGTGATATGCCGGAAGAAGGGAACCTTCTCGTTCAAGCTTTCAAGATTGGCTAATGATTGCACAAAACCGATGGGGATAAGGTAGAAGAAGACAAGGCCAAAGAGGAGGGCCCTCATCACCCAAATGCGGCCGTTGAGCTGCATGTAGTCGATGGAGAGATTGGGCCAGCAGACATCGCGAGGCTCGGGGGCCCACTCGGTCAACCAGACAAGAGGGTTCTTGGACTGCTGAGTCTGAGCTGCTATGGCAGCACCATATCTGGACCTGAAAGACACGAAGGCGGCCGGCATGATGAAGCTCTCGTTGGTCGTGATGTGCTTCAGCTCCTCGGCGATCTCGCTGTTCAGCTTCTTCAGTTCCTCTCGGCACCAGTCTATCGTGTCAACTCGTTTAGCCCAGCAGAGGAAGCCGACCTTGTGAGTGGGACGACGAGTCGGTTTTTTCTCATACCTCAGCTCGGCAAACGACAAGGCATCCGTAAGTTTTTGTCGCTTCGCGACCATGCTGTCCAGGTTCCTGGTGGCATACACGACATTGTGAGACAAATATGCGTTGGGATGATTGACGCGGAAAAAGTGTTCGACGTGAACGCTGATGCTTTCGCTTGGGTTCTCCGGTACCTGTCTCACCAGGACTGTGAACTGGTCCGGGGCGCGTTTGGAGCTCGCTATGGCTTTGAACCGCAGCTCGGTTATCTCGTCGTACTCCTTGTATAACCTGTAATAGGTCCAGAAAGAGAAGATCCAGGCGAAGAACATATGCGCCACTAACCGGTCAGAGCGCTTAGACACGTTGGCCATGCTCAGCGTGTCAAGACTTTTCAGGTCAACAGTGCGATGCGATTTGTCGGTGACATTGACGGGAATAAGGACGAAGATGCCAAAGACGCAAATTGGAATGAACAGCTTGAGGCCGAAGGTGAAGATGCGGAGGAAGATGGCGGAGTCCATGCCGGCCAAGCTTATGACCTCGTCCTCAGTCATGGTCAGGACCTTCTTCACCCAGTCGCCGGCAGAGAGGAACTTAGTCGGATCCAGCCCGCTCACTATCTCCTTCAACTTGATCTTGCTGCTCTTCACAATCCTTTTCGATCGGCGGTCGTTTTCCTCCACATATCGACGGGGGAAATAAACTGGCTTGTTGACCGGCTGCAACGCCAAGAAAGAATACAGAACAAGAAATCCCACTGCCAACCCAAGATTGATGCCCATCGCCGAAAAAAATCCCGACAAGTCCCCCGCCATCGTGCCTGCCTCTCTCTCTCTCTCTCTCTCTCTCTCTCTCTCTCTCTCTCTCTCTCTGTGTGTGTGTGTGTGTGTGTGTGTGTGTGTGTGTGTGTGTGTGTGTGTGTGTGTCGCGCGCGCGCAAGAGAGAGAGGGTGTGTTCCCCGAACACTGCACACCCTCATAATCGCAG